AATTTAGCTGCTCAATTTGATCAAGTATACAAGATAAAAATAAAAGAAAATTGATTACTTTTTACATAATAATTTTTATATAATAATTTTCATCTTATTTCAAATATTTCTTTTTGCAGTTTCTCTTTGAAGAAGTTGTACTAGTAAATCATTTCAATAATGGTGGTGCCGAACAATTACAGTATGATATTTTGAGGAATCTGTTTCCATTATTTGGTTTGTATATTAACAAACCAGAATCATATTTCCCTTTGTAAGTTTCTAAAATTATTAAAATTATTAAAATTATTCGTTAAAACAGATGTAATAATTTAGTTATTTTAATGTTCTAGAATCAAAGAAGCGTGTGTACTTTTAAATATCCTAATGGGTTCAGCAATATTGCTTGAAGAAGCACTAAATAATGATAATAAAAATGTATCGGCAGAGATCTTAGCGGATGTCGGTGTGTACAAAATGTCCGCCAAATTGGCTCTAAAAGTAATAGGAACGAGAACAGACATCATCCATATATAGAAAATCTTTCTCTTAAATGTATCATGTACAAATGAATTTATTGTAATAGATTTTCCACGCTTTCTGTTAAATTAGGTATACTTTTCTATTCTTCGCTATTGTATATAGTAATGTCCACGCATATGTGTGAGCGCGCACATGTTCTGTAAATAACTCTCTAACATAGTAGTGTTATGCCACCGTTGTCAGCACCTAATAATAGTAATCGATTGAGAGGCAGGACCGCCAAGGCAGTAAGAATGCCTTTAAAAGCGTCAGATCTTAACTTGGATGAGCTTAATGAAGCAGTCGTTTCTACAGCAGTATAAACGCCAATTCGATTTGCTGTTGTTCCTATTACCAATGCTTGTTCGTGCATTGTCATGCAATGAACAGGTTCTGTTGCGCCTCTGAAAATCGATAAATAATTTATGTAAATTATGTTTTGTCTATTTCATTTTACATAATAATATAACAAGTTTTCTTACTTCATGTGAAATTTAAGTTTTCCATCTATTGCACTCCACACAGCTATAGTTTGATCCAAAGAAGAACTAACTATAGTAGTTTCATTTATCGCTTCTAATTGTAATATCTATAATATTAAAAATCAATAAATCAAACAAATTCTTATACTAAAGGATCCCGCAGCAATCTTATGGAAATTAGTTTTCTGTCGAATTGGCTAAATTTTAGATATAGTTCTGAATACATCCAAAATTTAGTTTCAATTCGTCAGAAAGACCATAAATCATCAATTTCCACAAAAGCGGGATCCTTTGAAATCGTTAACAGCTATTAAGTATTTTATCTTTGAAAGTCTAATGAAGAAGGTAATTTTCAGAATTTTTTTTAAACCTATGCGATAAATTTTCATAGATTTTTGTAAATTTATTATACATATATTGTACTATCTTCAGTAAACATTTAAGGTCGTTCTTTAGTAAATCGTGTTATCATAGAAATATCTAATTTCTTATATAATTAAAACCTCTTACGATCAGCATATTACGTGTCGCTTGCTAAAAAGCACACTATATCTGAAAATAATCCAGTATAAAAAAAATTGCACAGCACTATTTTAGATCATCTAAAAGATGGAGACATACATGTTCTTTGTAGTCTCTTGTTTAAACGCTAATAACTTCGAAATTAATGAATGTATTTATTAAATTTTTCCTGAAAGTTTAATATATTTACAAATAAACCAACAAAAGCTTATGAAAATCCATTACGTAGATTTTTCAAAAAATTTTTCGAAAATAGTTTTTTTATGAGACTTCCAAAGATAAAAGACCTCTAAGTTTTTACCTCACATTCATGTCCCTTCCAAGATGCGATAATTAAACCGGTACGAGTATCTAATATCGTCAAGAAGCCTGATGCTTGACCTAAAGCAACCCAGTTAGCACTAGGCGATACAGCGATACATCTTATTAAACCCGTTGGATTCATGGAAATCTATCGAATGATTTAACGTTAAACTTTGTATATCATAAATTAGAATTTTAGGATATTAATATATATATTTTATGCTTACTTTCATTTCATTAACATACTGGAATGTTCTACAATCAATAACTCTAAGAGTAATATCGGTTGTTCCCACAAGAAGAGTTGTAGAGGGGGAAGGACTCGAGGCTAAAATATTCACAGGAACTGGACGGCTACTTTCCGGACATCCCAGAAGCGAACCCATGTAAGGATCCCAACAATGAATCATGCCATCGCATGTCACTGCATATCTCAAAGATTCCAAGAATGTAAGTGAAAGAATAGACTTTTTGTGTCCGGTATATGTATATTGACACGATGAAACTGTAGTTCCATCACCCTGATTTCATTACAACAGTAAAATCATAATTCTAGATATTATACAAACATTTTTTTTTTGTGTTAATTGAACAGAATATACCTTACCTGGCTTCGTAAACTCCACAGTTTCACAGTTTTGTCTCTGCTACCACTCATAAAACTGTTCTCATTGTCTAATACATAAAGACATCTCACACTGTTTGTATGTCCGTTGAAAGTCTGAAGTTTTATCTGCTTTATATTAAATATTGTATCCTTCTCCGGTCTTCCTATCTCGTGCTCCCAATAAGCTAACCAATTACCACGTAGTTGTCTACCAGCGGATAATGGACAAGTTGTTTCGCGACTGGCGACAATACTCGTCTCCGGCAACACTTGAGATCTTGCATCATCTTTCTGTATCTCGAATCTGTTTCCTATCACAGATATATTCCCGAAGCTGCAAGCACCTTTGTCAACTGATTCTACATTTTCCGTATCATCACAATCCACAGAAGTATTGTACTTATCTGCATTATCTTCAAAAACAAAAATGACACACAAGAATGAACATATTATTTACGTAGTTAATCGTGATAATAATTGAGAAATATTTTATAGGATATCTACCGTTATTTACAGAAGTTGTTGTTTTTATTTCTTGCTCGTAATCATGACAAAGCTGTTGTATATGCTCGTGATTTTTAAGTATATGTTCCATCATTTCAGTATGAATACATCTATAAAAAAGCATGTAGGCTTTGTGAGCGAACGCAGTAGTAAACACAGCTCGTAATTCTTCAAATGCCTGTAAATAAAAAGTTTAATACATACATTTGCATTCATAATATCTAAAAAAGAAACATGAGTCGTAAACTATGTGATCTTACTCTATTTCTTTGCAAGTCTAGCACGTCGCTATTTTCTACGATTGGAGGAGAATACGAATCTGCAATATCTGTATCAAGTTTGTTCCACGCATAAGTTCCATTATTAACAGTATCTTCGTTTGCCGTTTTCATTCTATGAAATAATAAAAATGAATATCTTGGTATGTTGTTAGTTTTGTCATTAAGAAAAGCAGGAGGAGTAATAGATTTATATATAATTAAAAATGGAAAGCAAAATTTGTGTATTTTAGGAAATACGGAATACAACATAGACACACATTCTACGTTTAGATTTTATGTACTGCTTCTATATTTAGGAAAATTAATTTATAATAACAAAATTTATTCAAAAATGTAGGAATCTTCGGAATTTTCTGTTTATGTTATTTTGTAATAACATTCTTTTAACGGTCTATTTTAGTTCAATCTGTAGAACATCTGACACAAAATGTCCTGAAAAAAAAATAGACAGAAAATAATAGATTGTTTCCTTGGAATCATTGCAAAATGTGAGGCACTTGAAATTTTCTGTCTTCAATAAAACACAAAAAATTTCTATATTTTTAAAATAATTTTTATATTGTACATAAATTAAATTTTCTCAAAGATAAATAATACCTAAACGAAACTGTATTCGTTTATTCCTTTCCCTAAAATAAATTCACAAATTGTAATTCAATTTGATCATATATAAACTTTCTGTCTCCTCTTAACGCACAATGTGTAATTAAACCACAATGTTCATCTGCGTATTATTACCGTACGAAATGTTCGTAGGTTGTATCTGCTTTTTGTCCAAAATTATTTGATGTAACTCCACCATCTAAATTTTCACTGAAAGCTTTGTCAAAAGCCAGAAAGAAGCGTTGAATTGGTACTGCTAAATGATTTTTTGTGATCACATTGCCAAGCCGTAAGCTAAGAATGAACATTGCTTCCAAACATTTTTCAGCTAAAGCAATGCGCGCAAGCGTTCCATTTGGAAATGTAAATCTCGCGGTTGACAATATGCGTACTGTGGGATGCAATATGGATTTAACAATCGGCTCCTACATTTAAATATGAACAAAGTTGAGCTATTCGACATTTTTTTCATTATATTATTAACGTATAATAATTAATATGTAATAATTCATTATATGATAAACATTACATGGAGCACATCCATCACCGTAGAATCGCTAAGATATGCTGTAATGTGATTTAATAGAGCCAGACAAGAAATTAGGCCTCCTTCCAAATTCTGCGTTAATTTTCTCTTACACAATGCTAACAGCTCGACTATATGTGCAAAGTATTGCAGCAATATAATTTGTTCGCCATATAATCCTGATAAAATAGTTGATAAACTGTCATTTTACTTACTAAAAATTAAAATAACTCACGTATATATTTTTTTGTATGTACCTGCAATAGATGTGAGGCACTCTAAAACTTTAACAGCGTTTTGATCACCAGCTAATATTGGTTTCTTCCATGTAACGCCCTTCAGATGCATGAAATTATTGTCATCAATTGGTGTTAAATTTTCTTTCCCAGCGTAACATAATGTCAGCATTCTCAGAAGATTTCGCGATAAGTATCGTGCTGTAAGTACCGGGCCAAGTCTATGAGATAACCATATAACAGATTCTGCGCTCATCTCAGAAATTGTGCATTCACTTAGAACAGATTTTCGGTAAATATGATCTAATTGATGTACATTTTCATCAGACTTGATCACGTCGCTTTTATCAAAATCCGCGGAAAGTACTGCAGGATTATCTTCCTTAGTATCTATATTGCACATATTTTCTGAAAGATTATTATCCGAATGAATACTCATGGCATATGCGTTAACATAAGTGAAATCTTCACTGGAAGTTTTACTTCCAACGTTACAACCAATACTGTTAAATTCAGTTACTAATTTAACTCCATTAGTATTTGATTGTTCAGGTATTGGAATCGTTGATGATTTCACTGAATCACCAGGTGAATTTTTATTTCTATCATCATTTGTATCATCACAGGCATTCAAGTTGAGCTCTATATGTAAATCGATATCATACGGCGCGGTATTGTTTGAAGAAATCCATAAATTATCCTCCGTCTCCATGGTAAATACTTCTGTAATATATCCAATAGAAATCAAATCATTTTCTTGTACTTATTAAATTCGGTCATTGAATAACGTTAAATACCTTCGATGTTATTATTTTTTATTACATTAGATGTATCGTTAATCGTTGGTATAGAAGATGCATCGACAGTGTGTTCAGTGTCTGCAAATGAATCTTCATCTAATGGAGATAAAATACCTTCTCCCTCACTGCAAGGTCCACTTAAGTCGCAGCTCCTTCATAAAAATTTA